TTTTGCAGATATTAAGATCTCCAGTGAATCTGGGTGCAATCAGGGCTGAAATTTAATACAAAACAGCATCATATTCTAATTAATAATAATTCAAGAATATTTGATTACTGAACAAGAGTGGTGACACACCAAAAAAAAAAAAAAAAAAAAAAAAAGTTAAGAATTGCTACCAAACAGCCCACCAGCCTTTTGTTACAGAGGACTAAGAGGTTCAAAGCTTCTCTGAGAATTCCCTCTATCCTAGGGGTTAAATGGTGCCATGCTCTTGAGTTCAGAATCTCACATCTCTGAGAGCTGCAGAGCAGTCACGTGCCATGCAATTCTTACATCTCACCTTCTAAAATTACTGGCAGATCGGTGCTGCAGGCTCAGTACAGTCAAGCCTCTTTTCTTGATAATAAGATAGACTGTGGGGCTTCTAGTATCCATAGATCATTTCCACAACTCTTAGTAGCTAAAGGTTCATTCATTCACTACATCAAAACTTTTATAACTACTGGCCAGTTGAAAAATACCTGGCCAAGCTGAGTGATGAATTGGAAAGAGCGCCGAAATAAGAACCTAAGGGCCTTGAATCAAGTTTCAGATTTGCCCACATTCCCTCAGATGACCTGAAGCTAGTCGTGTAACCTTTTGAGCTTCCATTTCCTTAAACGTAAAGTGAGAAAGTTGGTTAATGTCTAATATTCTCGGAAACTCTGAAGTGCTACACTGTATATTATAGTCTTATCTACTTTCGGATAATGATGCTAATAAGCAGTAAGGGTGAGGAAGTAAGTAGAGAGAAGCATAAGAAAAAAACAAATGGTACAAACAAGTCACAATCTGACAAGCTTGGTCTCATAGCAATGAAAATATTACTATAAGTTACCTTTTAAAAAGGTTATGGTGGCATCATATGGCAGTAAATTAGGTACCTTCCACTTTCTGCTTCTTGTCTACATAAAAAGATCATTTTCACTCCCCTTATACTGCAAAAACCACCCTTGCAAAATAAGAGTCATGATCAGTTGTTAAATTGCCTCTAAGAAAGTAGTGATGTTGGGGTCTCCCTGGTGGTGCAGGTGGTTGAGCTCTGCACTGTGAAGTTGTCCACAGCCTCTGCAGCGCAGGTTCCATCCTGGCCAGCGACAATCCCACATGGCGAAGCAGACCTCTCCTGTCTCACCTGCTGCTCCCCTCAGCAGTGTATTTCTTCAGTCTGCCTGTTCTGTTCCTCACTCTGTCTCTGATGAATCCTCTCACCCTCCCGTGCATCTGGCCTGTACCCCAGTTCTTATATAAATAAATAAATCTTTCAAAAAAAAAAGAATGTAGTGATGTTTAAAACATTTTTTTCTAATATGCCAGGAAAATGTTAAAGTATTCTAACCTCAAGTCCAGTTCACTGTTCCTTTATAAAAGCTCTCACAACCGGGCCTCCCCTGGTGGCACAGCGGTTGAGCACTGGGTTGCTGCCCGCAGCCTCTGCAGAGCCGGTTCTATCCCCGGCTGTTGGCGAGGGTCCCACATGGCACGCAGACCTCTCCTGCTGCCTGCTGCTCCCCTCAGCAGTGTATTGTCAGTCTGCCTATTCTGCTCCCTGCTCTGGCTCTGGTGGATTCTCTCACCCTCCCGTGCTACTGACTGTACCCAGTGCTTGTATAAATAAACAAACAAACAAACAAACAAACAAACAAATAAATAAATCTTTAAAAAAAAAAAAAAGCTCTCACAACCACTTCTCTCCATTTCCCATTCTTTACAATTACAATGGCCATCTTCTGATGCAACCTTCTTCTCAAGTCCATCCTGTGTGCGTTACCACTGCATCTCTCAATATATTTATGCCTCTTGATGTAGGACTTTTCTACTCCAAAAAAAAGTTTTAAATCTCCTTTCTCCCTGCAGATCCAATCTAAATTGTTTAGCTTGGCATTCCCAGTTCTCTACAATCTATCCCATAACCTACCTTTCCTCTCACTTTCCTGAACACATTTCACCCATTCAGTCTGGTGTACGTGTTGCCCATCCTGCAACTGTGTCACATGAAGTCCCTCCACTTCGCTTTTGTTCATGCTGGCCCTTCCATGTGGAATGACTTTCCCCACACATATTAGTTAATCTTGGTCATTCTCAGAAGAAGCTGAGCCAGCTTACGTTTCATTTCTTCCCAAAAGACTCATTTTGGACAAACAGTGATTTTTCCTTTTCCAATTATAGGAGGCAGCACTTATACTTTCCTGAATAATCTACTGTGTTTTGTTTGTTGCATGTTTCCTGGTTATACTGTATGTTCCGAAGAACAGCATCGATGTATCAAAGGCTTCTGTCTTTCTGCCTGTCTTTCCCTTCTTTCTCCTTTCCTTCCTTTAACTTTCTTATATGATGTAGTAAAATATGGGGAATGCAGTACATCATCAGTAATCATTTTATAAATAAACACAGTAATATCAGGCTTTTGTCAATAAGGTCAGTTGGTATTGCCTTACACAGTCTGATCCCTGGCACACAAATTCTCTTGTGTCCCTTAGTTTTTAGCTTGGAATTCTACACCCCTAACCACGTTTCTTTGTGAAAGTGGTTAGTACTACTAGGATACAAAGCCAACTTTAGGATCCACTTCAAAATATTATGTATAAGTTTCCCAAAACCGTGGAAGAGGCTAAGAAATATGAATACATTGAAGGAACAGAGTGAAGTATTCCAGTAATTAAATCACTTAATCACTTATTTTGATTGTATGTTAAGTCATGCACTCCTCATTTAGAAAGTTAGTGATAACAGAATTAGAAACTACTAAGTCAAGAAGGGACTTTATCTTATGGTTTTATAAATGAGTCAGCTGAGACTCAGGCAGAAACACTGAGTCTAAATATGGTAGTGCATCTTGCAAAGATGTTTGCCTTCCTTCCTCTTCTAACAGCACCTCTCCAAAGAGGGGTTCCTCTATGTCTGTCATACCCTTCTCCATGAAGTCCTTCTCATTTCCCAAAGCTTGTCTGTGACTAAAATGCAGCCCTATCTAGCAACTTAAAGTTGAACAAGGACAACAAGCCATCGTGATCTCTTCCAAATTTTTGAAATTATTCTGGGATAGAATAACGTTCTAGAAAGGGGCTCTAAGCTTTGGTTAGGAGAATTTTTGTGGAGGTGAGGAGTAGAGTGTGTGCCCACTAGATTTAGACATGCAGATAGTCATTTTGCTTGTTTTAAAGTCTGTTGCAAGGAATAGGAAGAGTCTGAGGACAAGTGGAAGAAGTGGGATAAGGCCAGTGCATCATGTGTCATAGAGCCCTAAGACTCCATACACCCCCCCACAAAAAAAAAAAAAAAAAAAACGCAACAGATATGGTAAGGGCTTAAAGGCTATGTGGCCCTGACTTGCTTCTCTCCCATCATATAGGGAATGGAATTGTATTAGAAAGATACCCCATGGGCAGGCTGATGGACAACAGGCTCTTAAAGTCAGCTGAGATCCTGGAACTCTCTGGAATAACCTCCCTTCCCATCTGAATGATCATGGCACCTAGTGAAATGAAGGGCAAGGCTTTGTGGCCACCCAAGTTGAGTCCTCCTGCACTTGGGACCTAGGAATGAAGCTGCTCTGCTTCAAATGTCATCCTGGGCCATTCCTTTCTATATCAGGTTGGGAGGTAGTAAGAGGAGAAGGAAACATTTATTTCTCTAAAAATTTCAGCCAAAACCTCAGTTTTGGCTGTGCTTTATTTTTAAAGGTTGCAAATCAATCATAATACTAGTCCCTGGCCTCCACATGTGGTTCTTCTGTGAGAGCTTTGCTTTGCGTTTCTGAAAGAAAGAACTTGCCTCGCCTTGCTCTTCTGTTGAAGCAGCTGCCTGGAGCATCACCCCTGGAGAAATAACTTTACCTCTCTGAACATTAGATTTCCCATCTGTTCAATAAAGGAGTTGATGGACGATGTCTAAATTCACCGAAGATGTGGGAATCTGCGAATTCCGTTGCCCTTTGACGTTTCCACTTGTGCGTCCAGCACAGAGGGTTAAAGGCTAAGAATCTCTGTAACCGAGTCGTGCTAACATCGGGGTGAGGCTCTAGAGCTGCAGGTTTGCAGTCTCGTCTCGCCCAGCCTGGAGGAACCCCTTCTCCAAGACTTCCCCACTGGGAAGCTGCAGCTGGTCTCCTTTGTTTATTCCTGTCCTCCCAGGTAGAAGGTGCCTGCAGCTCGCTCGCTCGGTCTACCGGACCCTGAACTGTTTATCCCACCCATGAACCCCAGTAAGCTGGGATGGCTACTTAGCTCGGTCTCTTTTCTGCCTTTACCCCTAAACATCCTTCTCTATTTCCTCTACTTTCAACCGCCAGAAACCCTTCCAGTCTTGCTAGCTACACTTTGCACCCCCGGCTCCGGCATGGCGAACTAGGCTGCGCGGCGGAGCAGGGCACTCTCCCAGGGGTCCGGGGCGCCTACCCCGCCCCCTCTCGAACCCAGCCTTTCTGGGTCGCAGACCCCGCACGCGGGACCCCACGGTCCCCACCACCACTCAAGCTCCCGGCGCACTCTTCCCTGCATCCACACGGGCAGACACCCTTCCCACTCCCCCGGCGAATCCAGAGAGGGTCAGCGAGCGCGCTCCTGGCCCAGCCGAGCCACCCGACCGGCCGCTGCTGGGCGGGGACGGAGGAGCGGCCGGTCCCCGCGGGGCTCCGGGGCGCGCTCAGTTCTGCGGGGCGGTTGCGAGGCGGAGCCAGATCGCTGAAGCCACCGGGCGCGGGAACCCGGCACCCAAGCGCCGGAGCCGCGGCCTCTGGCCCGCGGGCGCCCCCCGCACCCCGCCTCACTCCGACGCTGGGACACAGGAGCCCCGCGCGCCCGGGAGCGCAAGGCTGCGTGCGGGAGCTCGGGCGGCCCCGCGCGCGCCTTTCCAGCCCTCTCCGAGGAGGGGCGCGCTGGGACCCTAGAGGCACCTCGCGTCCGCCCGCCCTCCCCCATCCCCGCCCGCGCGGCGCGGTGCGGCGCTCGGATCCCGGGAGCAAAGCGCCGCGCTGTGTCCCTGGCGTCCTCAGTCCTGCCCCCCGAAGTGGAGATGCGCGAGAGGCAGGCGAGGGCGCGCAGCTCGTGAGACGCCGCGCCAGCCGGCACCATGCGCCTGCGGCCGCTGCCCCTCGTCGTGGTCCCCGGCTTGCTGCAGCTGGTGAGTGCCCGGCCCGCCGCGCCACCCCGCGCGCCCCGGACGGGTTTCGGCGGGAAAGCGGCGCGGGGAGACCACTAGGAAGCGGTGCTTGGGGGCTGCTTGGGACGTGGGGCTGGGGGCGCGCGGAGTTTGGTGTTACCTTGGGGGGAAAGCGCCGGGGGAATGGAATAGACGGGACCTTAGGGCGAGGGAGGCGTAGCAAGGGCCGGGACTTGAGGATTGGGGTAAAGTGGGCAGAAAGTCTGCGGGAAGAAGGCACTGGAGAAGGAAGAGGTGCACTGAGAAACGATCGGGCACGGGACGGAGGTGGAGGGGTAGGATGAGGATGGGCAGAAAGCCCTGACTCAAGCCCAGAGTTTGAGGGGCTGCTGGTTTTTATTTTTCACGTGGTGTTTTGCCCAGATGCCAGCAGACACTTCCAAACCGCAGCATCGTGCACCCTCGTTCGCAGGGCCAGCTAGTGTCGGCTAGCTAGGAGAAAACTTAGGCAAAAGACCGATTTTAGGGGCAGATTGGAATTTTCTTCGTTTTCCATCTGGCGCTGGCGCCTGGGATGGGATTTTTTGCAGGTGGGGGCCGCAGAATGTAACTTTCGCGCTCAACTCTGCTCAGGAGCCCCCTCTCCGGCATCTCTAAGGAGTGTGTTCCCCAAGACCTCGCTGATTTGGACCTTTCTGGGGGCGCTGAGGAATATGAAGGGTATTGGAAGGGGTTCTCCGGCGAGACTCTAGGCGACTGTCTTCGCGTCGTAACTGTTCTCTTTTTACCTGCATGACGCCACGCTCTGCCCCTGACATAGATCTAGATACTCTGTAATGCACGTTGCACATCGCTAGTTAGTTATATTTGAAGGAACTCCAAAGGAAGATCTTCAAGCAGACAACTTTCAAAAATTATAGAAGGGGACTGCTTTGGCTCAGTCCTCCTCTGTGATGGATTTCTCTTGCTCTCTTGACACCTAGTGATACTGTGCTATTAAGAGGGCTTTTAATGGATGCCAAGATTTCTTATGTTTGGTCCTCATACTGTAGAGGGACCGGTTAGCTTTGCGCTGGCTGTTAAAACTAAATTAAAGAACCTAACTTTAATACTTAGAGAGTGATGGTATCTTCAGTCCCTTTCTCTCTCCCTACTCCGCGTCCTTTCATTCTATCCTTTACTTTTAGAGGGAAAAATCTAGTAAGTTATGAAAGTTTCCCTATGATATGTATATAATAGAGGCAGAGTACTTTGCAAGTTTTGCACATTTGAAGAGACTGTAAAAGGTCTTGTGAAGAGGAGAGGGCACAGAAAGGCCTGTTCATCCTGATTAGATCAGAGGTTAGCTTCACCTGCACAGCCTTAACTAGAATTCTTCCTTGGCATCAAGAAGAAAATGCAGTGATGCTCCAAATGTCCTTGAATGAGCCAGCACTGGCTATAATACTGCCTGTTAAAGTAATATTTACATCTGTGGCATTATGCATGCAAAATAATCAGTATGCAAAATACTACTATCACTTGCTTTTTAAAATGTTAAATCTGAACTCCAATAATACGTGATCCGGCAAAGCAGTATTTATATGGCGTATGTAAGTAAATTTCTAAAAGCCTAAGATATCAGGTACAGTACTTAAATAGCGGACCGTCAATACCCTCTTCAATTTCTTAGTTCATTAATTTAACTTTGCACTCAGTGATCATGATGTGTGTCTGTTTCATAAGCATTGTGTTATACTCTTAAAGATGAGGAGATATATTTGGGCAGCTATAGGGGAAAGTCCTCCTATCAACTACTGTATTGAAAATGTTTGTTTGTTTTCACACCAGCATAGTCAATAGGAAATACATCTTGAAGGGATTATATGCCCTGCTTAAGAGCCAGATTCTAATATTACAGTATGGATTGATTGATTAGTTTTTAAGGAAGCTTATGTCAAATTCTAATCCGTTTTTGGATTGTGCTTGGGTTGTAATGTTTTTTTCCTGGAGCACTTTATCATGGTAAGTGAGGTGGGGAGCTGCAGCTGTGTGATAAGCACACATTCCTTTCACTGCCATCCTTTTGGACAATAAAAAACTGTTTACATTCTCCACATTCTGAGAGCTGTTTCCAATCAGGATGTAAAAGAAAAATAGAGTGGCTGAGCTGGGTTGATCTAAATTAAAACATCCCCCAACCCCACCATGAATCCAGCCTAGCAGTATGAAAAAGGACAGATCATAATTTGGTCCTTCAGATTGTTCACTGTTTTGTCCCACGTTTTTCAGCTGATATTGAACTTCTTTGTTAAATCCCAACAGCAAGTAGATTAAATTTTTTCTACATCTGAAAACTAGCCTTAATTTTCTGTTAGTATGTTCTTGGCAGAACTACCCTTAGTGAGGTACAGGGGCAAGGTTGGGGATAGTTGAAATTGGGTTCTACTTTTCCATCTGCACTGCCAGCATGAACAATATACCTTTTAAATGCTAAATACATTTAATGAGTAGTGGATTCATTTGGGGATATTGCAATTTTATTTATAAGAAAATTGCCTGTTTCATCTAAAAGCCATTACAGGGAGTTGGGCCCAAATAAGTCACTGACAACATAATACTGGTTCATATCGGAATGTTTTTACTTATTTTTGTAAAATTTCAACTTTTAAGAAAGCAATAAACTGAGTTGATGAATATTGCAAATATGTTACCTAGCTTAGCCCAGTTTTCCTGGCCTGTGTCCAGTTTTTATAATAAGACAGGTTGCCATCACTAATTAATAGAATTACTAGGCATTTGCAGAATTTAAATATCAATCCTGAATGTATTATTTTCTTTGAAATTCTTATTCAGTAACATATTCTTCATAAAATTTCCAACAGCATATTACTTCTTTTCTGACATCTAAAGCAGAGAAAATTAGCATTTGAAATTAATGTGATAATAAAATGAGTGTTGTTTCATGACATGGCACAAGGTAAAGACTTTGCCTGTTGACAACTTTGTACAGATTTGCATGATAATTTGTAACTCTAATAAGTGTGAATTTTGCCTTTAAGTAAAATGCAAATTGTGAAAAGATTAAATAGAAAATTAAATGCATGATTAGCTTGAGTTTAAGAAAACCTAGCAATGATTTTTCAAATAAGTTTTTTATACATTTCAACTTGTTTTTCAGTGATATAATGATGAGTTTCTCAAGTAAAATATATATTAAAAGTGCTGTAAGTTTGCAAATTTTTGAAATCCCATAAAATCAGAATATTTGTGACACCAGGTGTTTTAACTTTAAGTCCTTCCTCATTGTATATTATTGATCCACATGAACTAATTAAGGATATTTTTTCCTTTAAAAATTTAATGATTTTATTATTTGTTTAATGTGATAATCATAACATATATTTATTCCAGGTTCTGTATTTACAAGAACTGATAACTCATGACTGTCCTCCATTCAAAAATCATAATTTCCCTCATAGAGTTTGATCAATAAACATCAAAACAGTATTTCCCAGTGAAGGATCAATATCCCTCTGTTGGCTGGATGACAACGCGGAGGAGAAAAAAATCCATTGTATCATTGTTATGATGTAGATTTGGCCAGGCTTTAAAAATTAACTCATTATAAGCATCTTTATCTTAGACACTTTTACAAATTTGAATTAGGATTAGACAATTAAGTTCTTTATTCCAATCACTCACCTTCCAGTGAAAGTTGTGTTCCCTTGGCCTAGTCTGAGATGATATTATTTGCGTCAGTTTTAAATACAGTCCAAAGAGGAAACGGACTCTTCTTGGGAACTTATTTTTAGCTTAATAGATTTCCAAATGGGATAGAAAAGCTTTCTTAATTGTTGTTCTGTATTTATTTTACTTAAAGTCTTTATTTTTTTCTGATTAATGGTTGAAATGCTAAATAAGGTAGAAAGCTTTTTTAAAAAAAACATTTAAAGGTTTTATTTACACTGTCAGGTTAAAATGTGTGGGTCTTGCAAATTGAAAGAATTAAGAAATGTTGATTTTCCTAGTACATTGCCCTCCTTTTCTCTATTAAAGAACTAATCAATATATTTTGGATGATTTAGTAATTTAGGAATAACAATCAAAGATAAATGTAAATATGTCACAGGTTTGTGATTTTACAAAAGCTTTAGGACTATTTCTTAGTGTTTACATATTCTGCAAACTCCTTTACCTGAAGCTTTGCTGGGTAAGATTTGAAAAAAGAATTATAGCTACACATTCAAGTACCTACAGATAGGACTGTGTCAGCACTTCTGTAAAGAATCTCATTTCTATCTTAGCCATAAGCATTACTGCCGGTTAGAAGTTGGCATTTAATATCTTGATTTGGGAGTCAATTATTTTAAAGCTGCTTTAAAAAATTGGCCCAAATGATCTTCAGCACACATCCATGCAAGGTGACTCTCTAGGTATCCTTGCAGTATACAGGGTGATGATTTAACTAATTAATTTCTATGTTATTCTTTTACAGTGGCATAATAAATAACCCTTTTCAAATAACCTATTTATTGCACCACTCTAAGATTTTGTAACACTATTTTATCGTGTTTTTTTTTTAATTGTGCCAAATTCATATGCCCTAGTCAGTGTTTTTATAAGTATTTACTAACAAGCCATTTGAATTTTTTATTATTTATGATATGACAGATGGTGTTGATGACAACTCCATTCTTCATTTCAAAATCCTACTCAATAAAAAGATTGTAAGCAATTTACACTATGAATTTTCATATTATACAAAGATTCTAAGATATAATTGATTATAAACTTCTGTTTTATATTTAATTTGTGAAACTCTAGATAAAGACTTAGGGGAAAAAACCTAGATAAAAGTAACTGTATGGTTCACTGTTCTGTGAGATCAGTATGTAAGAATTGTTTCTTTATAGAATTTCTATTAAAAATGAAAGTTCCATTATTCATATCCAAAACCTATAAGATTTTCTTTTTTTCTAGCCATATCACTTAATAAATAAAAAGAATTGTCTTTAAAATTGCCATTCTTGTAGATTTTGCTGTTCTTAGATTGGTGGACCTAAGTAAGAGTAGTGGGAAATTTTATAAACTCAAAGTAGTGGGAAATTTTATAAACTCAAAGTGCATTGACAATAATGCTATGTTAGATTTGTATACACTTACCTGTTTTCAAGTTTCTTTTGTACAGTTTATATCATTTTATTTTCCCAGGAAGACTAGGAGATAGAGGGAGACATTTTAAGTATTTTCATTTGTACTGAAAAGAATAACAAATTTGGTGTTAGAAGACTTGGGTTATATTTCTAAATAATTTGCACATTTAACAAATCTTTACTTTTAGTAAAACTAGGCAAAGGGAATTAATTGATAGAAACTTATTTAACACATGCAAATAACAAAATCAATAAACTTTAAAACGGTACATTTAGAGGTTTTTTTAATCTCTAGACCATTTTTAAGTTGTAAACTAATATCTAGTCCTTGCTTTAATTTAAATAAAAGTAAATTAACTTTAATTAAATTCTGATTTTTAGGTAAGCAGCATTATAGTTTCATATCATACTTCAACCCAAAAACTAGCATCTAACAATGTACTTCTTAATGGAATGAATCCAGCCTACTTAAATCTGGAACACTTACAACTAATTAGGAGTTCATATGTAAATGAAAGAAAAATTTTTTAAGAAAACCAACAAAAAACTGACATCTGAGACCTATCAAAGTGAAGAACATTGTTAATGCAGACAAGCCATTTGAAACAGACCGACCAGTCCTGGAGTTTGAGCCAGCCGTACCTTAGACAAGGTAGATGTCTCTAGAAACCAACCTTGTCTTTGTGATGTTGCTGGTTTTCATCAGATAAACTAATCCTGAGGTCATAAAGAAACACTTGTGAGATTATATTTATTCAAGAATATGCAAGATTGTTATTTTCAAGCATTGTCATTATACACAATTAAAAAATCTCATTGGTTATATCTCAAGCTATATGCCTATTCTACTTATTCACTCAAAACAGTAAATTGTCTAAATTATTTGAAGTGAGAGACCATATGTGTAACTTGAGTGACTGTTAAAAATCTATGTGACTTCTATTCCATAATTCAAAATATTTGGTTCGTGCAGTCTTACCACTGAAAGTTGTTGATCAACAATCTACAACATATTTTGAATGGATTACACATATAATAATAGAATAGGAACTCTAAGGAAGCATTTAACATATGATTACTACATTTGGTAGTAATGATAACAATAATTTTTATTAATTAAGTTTGGGATTGGGAGAATCCAAACAAGATCGTTGGTATCGGAATAAAGAAAGTGACGATACACGCGAAAAGGAAGTGTTTTCAAGGACAGTTTTTCCATACTTGTGAGTTCATCTGTTGCTCCTGTGCTTCCACCATTCATGGAGTCAGATGAAGTTATCACTTTCCTCTTTTTGATGTCTGCTGTCTTAGTGCTCAGGAAAGTGACTACGTGGTTTACAAAATTCTTTCACATATGTGATCTTATGGGTTCATCTCCACATTCTCTCTACAGTTAAATAGAACAATAGTTACTGCATCCATTTTACAGACGAAGAAACAAAAACACTGAAGGCTTCAGGGATTATAGACCTCACAAGACTTGACTTGTCCACCTAGTCCAGCTCTTAGGTAATGGACGTGTCCAGTTGTAGCAGAAGTTTGTGAGCTCCAGCGTGGATATCAGAAACATGGACTGGAAAGGTCCCACTCTGCTCAGCAACCTGAGGTAGACACCTTCCAGCAGGAAAGTTTAAGTTGTTTGTCATAAAGTTAAGTAAGTTATACAGAACATATGGATTCTAAGATCATAGCCGTTAATTGGCAGTTCTATTTAGAATCTAGCCTCATAAAATTTATGTTTGCCAAGTTGCCAAATGCTCCAACTTTTCTGCAACTGCAGGGTCAAGTTGAAGACCCAGTATTGTGGCTCCAGGTAGGATTAGAGGAGGATTGAGAGTTTCTCTAATTTCTCCAGAGTTCATGTACCACTTCAGATTGCAAAGATGAATAAGGAGAAAAGAAAGGCCTTAATTCCTATTAAAGCCACTTAATTCTGGCTTTTCCATAAACAGGTTGGGAATATGAGATGGTGCCAGTGTGGGGGGAGGCTGTCTAGTAGGTGCTCACACTTGAACTTGATGTATTCATATGTGATTTTGCTTTACTAGTAGTATATTTACACTTTCATCCCCCTTTCTTTTATGAAAATATGTATTTTGTTATAAGGGTAAAATATTGTAATCAATGTAGTTGACTCTCCATCCAGATCCCTTTGGATCTGTTTTTTCATGTTTCTGTGGCCTCCTCCCTACCTGGTACCCATTCTAACCTTTGGCATCTGTTACTGTCCTTCAGAGATTGCCCCAGGTGTTGGCTGCCCCTTGCCAGAAGGCACTCAGAGCCAGGTGCAGTTCTCGAACCACCCTCCCCCCCACCTGGTTGGTCTTGACAAATGACAGATGCCAGAGTGTGTGGAGTCTGGGCCCTTGCTGTCCTAGTGCCCCTGCGGGATCAGGCTGACATTCCCCTCTGTGGGACTCTGCCTTTGATCACAATTCCAGGGCTCCCCCATCCTCTCACCTGCTGCCCCCACTCCCTTACCAGACTTCCCTAGAAGCACTTCCTTATAAATCACTTGCGCCCAAATCCTTGTCTCAGTATCTTCTTCTCAGAAACTCAACCTAATATCTCTGTTTAAAATGTTTTTAATATTTAGAAATTTTTACATTTCACTCTTCCCTGCTTTCTGCCTACTTACAATAAGGGATAATCACAACTGAGTGTTTAATACATATCTTTCTAGAAAGTTCTATGTTACATATTTGGCTATATGTGATATTAAACACAGCATAATATTAATGTTGTGAAACTTACTTTTTAACACAGGAATATGTTGTGGGAAGTCTTATACACTGTGGAACAACTTATATTTTTGAGTATTCATAGGATTTCATGACTTTGATAGTCAACACCTTTGTTAAGTATGTTGAGACTTTTAATGTATTTATCAGTATACCTATAAAATAAATTCCTAGAGATAAAAATGCTAGTTCAATGCTGGGAATGTACAAAATGAATTTTTATAAATATAGATTTTTCTGTAAATGACTATAACAGAATTTATTCACTCAGTATATGTGCATGCCTGTCTCCCTGTTGGGTATTGCTTTGGGCTTTTTTAAAATTTGCCAACCTATTATAGGAAAACACCTCATTGTTTTTAAAATGTCTTTTATGTTAACTTATTTAGAAGGAAGTGAAATAAATGTATTTTCATATTTAATAACCATTCATATTGCTTATTTTGTGATTTCCCTTTTTGTATTTTGTAGATTGATAACTTCCATTTTCAATTATTTTTCTATAATCTTTAAATTTGTATAGTTTCTTTTTTATATTGCCCTTTGAGAGTTTTTTTTTTTATTATTCCTGGGTATTTTATACATTATGGGATTGTTGTGGATACCATTTCTATGCCTAACACTTTTTTTCATTTTTTAAATTTAGTTTTTGGAGATTTCTCCCCTCAGATGTGGTCACCGTAGTTCTCCCACCACCAAAACACTCACCATCCATCACCATATTCCCTTGTGCTCTCCCTCCACTGTGGACACCCCTCCAAAGCTCCCCTACTATCTCTCCTCCTGGGTGCTTCATATCTATGGTCAGCTTTCAAGATTTGTCTTTGTCTGACCCTTTGTTTGGTTTTTCTATATTTCACATATAAGTGAAACCATCCAATATTTATCTTTTTCCTTTTGACTTATTTCACTTATCTGTGCTGTGCCTAACATTTAATTTTTTTTTGATGGATTATAAGAAGTTATTTTAGTGTGTTTATGTTTGTATCACTTCTACTTCTAAGCTGGATTATTAGCTATAGTAATTTTAAACTTGATTTTTGTATAGAAAATCATATCTGTAAAAAATCTTATATTTGGCTTGCTCTATTGCATATTTATGCTTATTAAATTAAAATATCTCCTTGTGCATGGGACAGAACCTTTAGATTATTGCTGAAGAACAATGTGAAAGTGAGTGTGTAATGCTCATATCCAACTTTCATGTAAACTTTAATGTTTGCTTTTAGTATCAGATGAATAATCTATCAAATTAAGGACATACTTTTTTTTAAAAAGATTTATTTATTTATTTATACAAGCATTGGGTACAGTCAGAAGCATGGGAGAGTGAGAGAATTCACCAGAGCCAGAGCGGGGAACGGAACAGGCAGATTGACGTAATATACTGCTGAGGGGAGCAGCAGGCACAGCAAGATAGCCCTGTGCGCCATGTGGGACTCTTGCCAGCGGCCAGGGATCGAACTGGCACTGCAGAGGCTGTGAGCAGCTTCGCAGCACAGCGCTCAACTGCTGCGCCACCAGGGAATGCCCAAGAATATACTCTTATATTCCACTTTAAAATAAATTTATGTGGAGACTAGAGGTTGATTTCAGATGTTTTAATCATTACTCAAAATGATCACTTTTTAAAAATGTTAACCAGCTTATGTTTCTTATGTATGAATAGGTTCCCTAATAGTGAGCTAATTAAACAAATCTGAGTTATCTGTATTTTAATATACTAATATATTTGTTTTTATGTTATTAATGTTTGATTTAGGATCTCTGTACTTGTAAGTGAAATATAGCAGAAATGAAACATACCCAGTTTTGCATCAGTATTACTAAAGTATTAAAAGTAGAAAGACATTTATTTTTTTCCCTCTCATTTCTGGGAGAAGTTAAAATAGTTGAAAATGGGATTTCCCTTGGAGTTTTGTTGGGAATCATTTTAATCTGTTTGAGTCTTTTTGTTTTAGGAAAGGAATTTTTATAAGCTATCCATTTATACAGATTTTTTCCTTCAACCACTATTGAATCCTTTTTTTTTTAATTTTAAAAGAAAATAATGGGGCCTCCCCTGTGGCACAGCGGTTGAGCACCACGCTGCGAAGCTGTCTGCATCCTCTGCAGCGCCGGTTCGATTCCCTGCTGGCCAAAGCGAACCCCACATGGCGCAGCAGACCTCTCCGGCCTTGCCTGCTGCTCCCCTCAGCAGTGTCTTTGGTCTGTCTGCCTGTTCTGCTCCCCGCTCTGGCTCTGGTGAATTCTCTCTCCCTCCCACGCTTCTGACCTGTAACCCAGTTCTTGTATAAAATAAATAAATCTTTTTTTTTTTTTATAGAGGCATGTTTTATTTATTTGTTTGTTTGTTTTTGTTGTTGTTTATACATGCACTGGGTACAGTCAGAAGCACGGGAGGGTGAGAGAATTCACCAGAGCCAGAGCGAGGAGCAGAGCAGGCAGAAGGACCGAAGTACACTGCTGAGGGGAGCAGCGGGTGGCAGGAGAGATCTGCGCGCCATGTGGGACCCTCCTTCAGTGGCTGGGGAGCAGCCGGGGATCGAACCGGTGCCGCGGAGGCTTAGGGCAGCTTCGCAACCCAGCACTCAACCGCTGAGCCACCGGGAAGGCCCTAAAATAAATAAATCTTAAAAAAAAAAAAAGAAAATTACGCATTTTGAGCATCTTCAAATTTATTTAGCATTAAAATTTTATATCTATTACCTTAATTTTAAAGAATCTACTTTAAGCCTTTAATTTATGCCCTACTAGCCCACCAGCCCAATTTGTATTAATTGTTATGAAATGGTAGCAGCTAGGGAACTGTGTTCCTTTTCTCTCTAGGTCTACCCCTGTAAATAGTAGCCTTCTGGAGCAGATTCCATAGTTGATCTCTTAAGCGATCCAAGATGAAATGAAGCCTTGGGTCAGGGAGAGAATGTCCAGAACACCCCTGTCCCTTCTACCACCTTAGTGCCTACTTGCATTCCAGCCCCACCTTTGCTGAGGTTAGTGGTGGGGAGAAATAAGCTCGTAGGGTACCCCAGCTTACTGCTCAGGTATTCTTCTCATTGGCTTTTGGTCACAGGCTTCGGCACACTTGACTTTTTCTTTATTCTTATTCACTTTTCCTTATATTTTCTAAAGATTCTCAAATGTTGTGACCTCTTGGCATCCTTTCCTCTCAGCATTCATTTTTGTTTTTGTATTCTTAATTCCATGGGAATTTGGGAGAAAGGCAAGGTAAATACACTCATTCAGCCTTCCTCATTGCAACTGAAAATGTTATAGTCATTTTTGGCCCATGTTTCTTCATGTCCTACCATATCCATTCAGTCAAAAAATCCTATGAAATTTCATTCCAAATATCTATGTAAACTGTCTCTTTTTGCCTACTCCCTGCCATTTTATCACTTGGAAGCTGTAGCAGCCCCTTAGCTGGTCTGCCATATTTCAGTATGCGCCTTCTTAAAATCCATTTCACATATCACAGAATCTTCTTTCTTAAGTTCTCCTTTGATTTACTATGCCACTCCATTATTAAGAATGAGATTTTATTTTTCTTAACACATTGAGTTTAAATTCCTCTTCCAGCTTTCCAGTCTTAAATCTCTTATCCAATATTCATTGCATACTCTTAACTACACCCAGATCTTTGTCCTCAAAGCTCCATGATTATGTCAAATAAAGGAAAACATAGGTTTTATCACACTGACTTGGATACCTCTGCTTTTTCCAGCATCCAGAAAAGCTAGTAAGTCTACTCAATTTAAGTCCCTTTCCACATAAAATCGCAGTAATTATAGCTATCTCACTGGGTTATGATGATGATATACAAAAATGTAAAGTGCCTAACACTACTTAAACAAATGCCAGTTTTCTTTTCTA